GCTGCTGCCAGGTCCAGATTGTGTCATGGGTCCCTGTACGGCCTCCCATTGCTGCTGCCAGGCCCGTAATCTGCCATGGGCCCCCGTACCGACTCCTCATGCTGCTGCCAGGCCGTAATCTGCCATGGGCCCCTGTACCGCCTCCTCATGCTGCTGCCAGGTCCAGAGTGTGTCATGGGTCCCTGTACGGCCTCCCATTGCTGCTGTCTCTATCGCCACACTCTGCCATGTGCCACTTTCAGGTCTCCTCACACTGCTGGTGGTTTCCATTTTTGTCATAGGGTGCTGTATGGCCTCCCATTGCTGCTGCCTCCACCGCCACACTGTGGCTCCACACTCTGGTTTTGGCCCCGTGACTGCCCAAATGAGTGAAGTGTGCGGTGATTCTAAGATCGACGGCACTCATCTGCATGTCATACTGCCTGACAGTATTATTTCTCTTCCCCAGCAGACTCCAAGGGCATTTAAATTAAAGGTACAGTGTTCAGCACTAATATTAAGTCTCTCTGAAGCCTAGAAACACCCTTTTTTAAGTTAAATTCACAGCGAATATATTCGACTCGAATCGAAATTTTTCCACGAATTCGCCGAATCAGTCGAATCGAATTTTTTGAATACTTTGCTCATCTCTAATACCTTCCCACCAGGCTTCCTGATTGGCTAGTTGAGAAATGTGTGTACATAAGCTATTTCTCACCTGCCCGCCAGATGGCAGTCATGTATCACAGAACAATTTGAGTATTTGAGATGACTCATACCTCGGGTGGAATTTTAAGGTAATTACAGGGATTAAATATACGTCTTTCCAGATATATGAGTGATCATACCTATAATATTCTAAATAGGGACCATGGAGTATTGGTGTATATTCAGTTATTCCTTCTTGAAATACCATCCTGTCTGTTTCCTGATAAGACATATAACTAATGCTAGTTTATAATACATCTTACTTTCCATCATCTCAATACTCAAGTTAGTGATATATAGTTCCCATTGCTGAATATTTGGTGGTGTGTGAAATCTATTCTTTATAACATCTCTAGATACTATGTTTTTGTAGTTAGATACATTTTAATTTTTAGTCTTAAATGTCCTGAATTTAACTTCTTTGTTTTAGAACCAACATTTTCTATGTGTAGGGAAAAACTCTCTGTTTGCCTGGCTCTTGTATTGGAGTCACAGTAAACAACTATTAATACTTTCACCCTTGGTGGACAATAGTATATTGTGATAGTTCCAGAGGTCTGTTGGTTTATCACCCTCTGCAAGGTTTGGGTAAACTTTCAACCAGTTGAGTTCCCGTCTCATTATTGTTAAAATGTTTGAAAGTCGAAGTCCTATCTGGCTATCTGTTTGACTTTTTGTGTATGCATTCTTCTCAACCTCAATATACAAATAGTACTTGTTGACAGTCCAAACAGTCTTATTGTCTTGGAAAAGTCTCACTTCCCCCATTCTATCCATTTCTTAACTAGAATCCTTCGAGGGTTCAACCAAGACAAAATTAACTCTTAGCATCCGGCTATACTGAGCTGCTTGTCATATAATGTTATGTCTTGATAAAGTCATGTTTTTGAGACATAATTCAAAAGGTCCACAACAATGTCAACCCTGCCAAATCTAAAGCTATGTCAATTACCCTCTCACCATCAGTGTTGGCGACTTTGAAACATTAGTTCCCGTTTCAATGGCTTTCGGTCCTGCCGTATTTAGGAATCAAGCTCACTCCAACTTATGATGGACTTTACCAGGCTAATTTCCCCGCTGTCTTTAATGATTTGACAGAGATGTTGTCCTCCTGGTCTTACTATCCGCTTTCGTGGTTCGGTAGAATCAATGCGATTTCGCATGACTTATCTTCCCAAATTATTGTACGTGTTTCGAGTTTTACCAGTTCCTGTTCCCTCACATATATAGCGAAAACTCCTGTCTTTCATTTGGGGATCCTCTCGACCCAGAATTAGCAAACAAATCTTATTTGCCCGTAAGGCCGAGGGTGGGTTATCTGTCCCAAATCTTCAGTCTTACTATCTGGTGGCCAATATTGCTCCCTTAGCCCATCTCCATGCATCTCGCAATATTCCCTTGTGGGCTACTGTAGACTTGATGGATTCTCACCCGATACCACTTTCCTCTTTGCCGTGGCTTCCTCCTATTCATCGCCGTCGTGGTCCCCCTGGAGCCCTTTTCTTAGTTTTTTTTGTTGGGTTTTTTTTTTTTGTCTCCTTTCTCTTCGCTCCTCTCTTTCTTTCCTTCTGTTTAGTCTGTTTTTTTACGATATTTGTGCTGATTGTGATTTCTGCCTTGCCAATACTATATCCATATGCCGGACTCCATCGAGAGCCCTGCATGTGAAGTACTAATATGCATTCAGTAAGGCTCCATCTTCCATCTTCCCCGCCTTCTGTATGCTGATATAGTGACAACTTTTTCTTTTAGTTTATTATGTCATTGGTTTCTAAATGTCTACCACTTTTGCAACTTATTGTTTTGTTTTCCTTTTTTATATACTGCACTTGTATACGAAGTTTATTTTCTTGTCTTTCCATCAGTGGAAAGCCAGTCATGTGTGTGTGTGTGTGTGTGTGTGTGTGTGTGTGTGTGTGTGTGTGTGTGTGTGTGTGTGTGTGTGTCAAATGTGAACCCAACAAGACAGTGCTAAATACTCTCTAAAATAGTGATGTGAGAAAATTAGAATCTGAATCAAGACGGTATCGCAATAAACATATAAACCTATCCCCTGAAAGCATATAAGTCTTCCTTTCACCCTTGAAAGTGAATACATGATAATACCTCAATATGCTCACCCTATAGCCAAAGCAAACAAGTGCTAAACTAAATAAACTATGTATAAATCATTTGAATTAAGTACATATAATAATATAAACGCAGTGTCAAAAAAAAGTACTATAAATGCAGTGTCCAAAAATAAATATTAAAAACGCAGTGTCCAAAATACCAAGGTATAAATCAATTGAATCAAGTACATTTAATAATATAAACACAGTGTTCAAAAATTTATATAAACGCAGTGTCCAAAATACCAAGTGTCCAAAAATATACAAAAGATGCAAATCCAAGTCCTTTCTGTGGACACTTTACCAAAAAGACTCCAAAGTGTTCCTAAAAAAAAAAAAAGAAACTAAAATAGTGTATTATCCTTAAAACAATAATGTGCAGTCATATACAACATAAGTGTCACTCCACATCAAACATGACCATATATGCGAATCAAGTGCTCGACGTGAAAAAATGTGCTAGTGAAACACTCTTGTGATCCAACAAATCAAAAAATCAAAGTGCTACTAGTAGTGCACACTTCTATAGTGTAATGGCTGAATACCCTTACCACATGGCAAAAGAAACAGCACTTTAATACCACTAAGGGTATACACCATCCAAGGAAAGCTAAACCAGCCTGGATATGTTGATTGAGATGTCCTCATAGACTCATGGATAATGCTCCTAGCTGTCATCAGGACCTTGTCCAGGATTACTCCATAGTATTCATAGTACCCATCATATATAAAAGGATATATAGTGTAATTCCGTATGGTATAAATAAAGAACACTTTATTATGCTCTTACTTTTAAAAACAGATAAATAGCACCACAGCTCTCATAACCCAAACTTCTTGCAGAGCTCAGCAGCTATCAGAAGCGTCTGGATGTGATTTCTTATCTCCAAACCGTAATGCAGAGTCTCAGCAGTAGACCGGAGCGTCTGGATAAAATCTCTTGATCCAAAAACCCCATGCAAAGTCTTAACAGCTAGCAGAAGTGTCTGGATAAGATAACACTACATGCCAAACCTCTTGCAGAGTCTCAGCAGCTAGCAGAAGCGTCTGGGTCAGATTTTCCAATTTCCAAAATGGCCGATTTGCCACTTCCGGTTCCTTTTTTTTTTCCTTTTGTTGTTCCTTTGTTGCGTCTGACATCACTTCACTAAGATCCTTATGAGTAAGTCCCTGAGATGAAACATGTCAAGGAAGTGACGTCAGACACAACAAAGGAACCGGAAGTGGCAAATTGGCCATTTTGGAAATTACACTATATATCCTTTTATATATGATGGGTACTATGAATACTATGGAGTAACCCTGCTCAAGGTCCTGATGACAGCTAGGAGCATTATCCATGAGGCCATCTCAATCAACATATCCAGGCTGGATTAGCTTTCCTTGGATGGTGTATACCCTTAGTGGTATTAAAGTGCTGTTTCTTTTGCCATCTGGTAAGGGTATTCAGTCATTACACTTTGCTCACCTCCACACCCCAAACCCCTCTCTGCTCACTTCCACATAGCCATCTCTGATCACCTCCACACCCAACACCCTCTCTGCTCACTTCTGTACCCCAACCCCCCCCCCTGCTCACCTCCACACCCCAACCCCCAAAACCCCTCTGTCTCTCTGCTCACCCCCAAACCCCCTCCCTGCTCACCTCCACACCCCCAAACCCTCCCTGCTTACCTCCACACCCCAAAATCCCCTCTGCTCACCTCCACACCCCCCACCCCTCTCTGCTCACCTCCACAACCCCCTCACTGCTTGCCTCCAAACCCCTCTTTGCTCACCTCCACACCCCAAACCCCTCTCTGCTCACCTCTCCCCCCCCCCCCCCCCCGTTCATCTCTACACCCCCAACGCCTCTCTGCTCACTTAACCTCCACCCTCTCTTTTGATCCCTTCTGTGCCCTGCTGTCCACTTACCAGAGCTCATGTCAGGCCATTTTTCTATTAAAATCCACACAGCTGTGGGCAGTGCTGGCTGGGTACTGTCCCGTATGGAGAGGCGGAGAGCTCATGATTCAGAAGGCTGCCCCTGCTTTTCACTGCACTGTGCTGACCGACCGCTTGCTGTTGTAATATTCAGCAGAGCAGGAGTTCGGTCTGGTCTGAAAGCTGTTTCAAGCAACGCTGAGCTAAAATGTTCTATAAGACTCCGTTTTGTCAAAATTTTGGAAATTGTGTTCATTGAGTTTTTGATTAAATCTTACTTTTCAAAATAGGTGTACTCATTTATGCTAAGCTCTGTATATGCATGTGTGTGTGTGTATGTATGTATATACTATACTAAGGAGAAAGGGCTTCACTTTTTGGATCTTGTTTTTAGCTGTTTGGGTATTACTGAATTCCACTGTTTTGTTGCAACGGTGTGTCTGATTCCATGTTTGTTTTTCCTAAATCTCCTCCTTGCAAGGCTTCTTCTCAGTCCACTATTTGTAGGTAGATTGTGAGTGTATTTCTCAAGCCTATAGCTTCAAGGGCAAGGTTCCTCCTTTCATGATCAAGGTCCATTCCACCAGGAATGTTAGTGCTACCTGGACGATTC